AATAAGCCAAAGGGCTTTCATTTTCTGCCCCTAGGCAAGGCAGTATGCAAGGTTTGGAACCTCCAAGACTCAAGTCTCCCAAGAACATACATGTTTGTGCAATTAAGCTCTTTTCTCTGGCTGAAGGTCTCCCCAGCATCCCCTCATTTCCTGCTGCGGGGAGGACATACTAGAAGACAACACAGAAAACACAGCTTTGTTAGACAGCAACAGCTCGTAATAGCTAGGGCTTGTTTTGTTTTCCACAACCCAGCACTGCAGCTTCTGAAGTGAGAAATGTTTCGCACATCAAAACATCAAATGGTGGGAGAGGGAGGGAGGTTAGGAATGAGGAAGAAAGAAAATATTTGGCTTCCACTGTTAGAGTGCCTTTCCAATTGCCATGGCAGACAAGAGGGAAAAATAAACACAACTGTCCTCCATGGTCAAAAAAATGTAATAGTCATATCAATACAGGAATTCTTATCAACATGGGAGACCTCTGCAGTGCTTGGTGAAGGGAACCAAGCCATCCAACTTGACTACTGCATATTACTGCAGTGTATGCAGAGGTATGAAGATCAGCCAATGTTCAGACTTGACTATTTTCAGTGAATTCTGACTTGCGATTAAGGAAGTAGATATCAATAAAAGTCACTTTCCTCTTCTAAGAGTTGAGATTTATTTTTCAAGGCTTCAGAAAAAAAAAAAAAAAAAAAAAATCAGTTTTCTTCAATGAAGAGACTCCATTGACGCGTTGTAGCACTTTTCTATTTAGTGAAAACGATGTCAATGATTCAATCCTTCAGCAGCTAGTTACCAAGTCAGGATATTCAAAGACTATTTTCTCATTGTTGGGATGAAAAACATGTCCACCGGTCTTTTGGGAAGCTGAGAAAACTGTAACCACTGGAATCAACATTTTGGTCTAGCCTTCTCACCATCATATTAATTAAAAAGTAAGCTAACATCCCCTCAATTCCACCAGCAGCTTTTGTTAGAAAGCTTGGGGCATTTTTAGGTTCTAACAATCTTTAAGTCTGTGAGACCTACAGCTGATTGTGCTGCAAAACTTTCAGTGTGTTTTAGTTCGAGCCTGGTTGGCCTCTCTGCAATTGTTGGAGAGACTGGAAAAGAGGGCTGGAAATCTTCCTTATGATCTGTCCCATGAGTTCATTTTTATGATGACTGTGACAGACAGAGAGGGCCAAAGCCCAAGGTGAAGCTCCAGGACTAGAAGAACCTGGTCTTGCATCACCACCATTTGAAACAGAACCAGAGAATCCAGACTGAATAAAGAAAGTCTGCTCTAATTTGCTGAGCTACTTAAGAGTCAAGTCTTGCCATGAAATACGCATCACATCCTAAACACGCTCACATGATTATCACAGCATCATCCCAAGTCCACTTCTCGTGTCCCTTTGTCCTACACTATGGAAATAAATCAGACACCAACTACTTGCTGTCTGTCTACACTGGTTAGGGATTTGGGATTACAGAAGCAAGTGCTAGAAACCTAGAAGAATTATTGAGATGAACTTGCTACTACCATCTTCTCCTTATGTCAAACAGCTATCACACTGCAGCTGCTATGCAAAATAAACAAGGCTCAGACAGGAGGAAAGGATTTATCACAGCAGTTCTAGGAGAAAACATTGTGATTCAGATATTTTTCTTCCAGAGTAGTAGCAAAACCAAAACCTAACCTGGTAGAGCTTATCTTCAGCTCTTCACTCACCACGATTTTTTCAGGAACGAACTGCAATGCTATGCTAGAGCTGTACGTGCCAATTTCTGACAGCACACAAATACTTACACTTTCCAGGTCATCAGTAAAGGCTGAGCTGCCTTACAGCAAACAGCTGGAGGCTGAGACAACATACACCTTTGTCTCTACCAAGTATAAATTCAGATTTCAAGGTACTAATGTGATACACTGACAGATGTTGCAAGTCTGTGGCTATAATGTTCAGAAGCAGGGCACAATTTGGGTCACAGCAAGAATGTGGAGTCCATCACATTGACAAATGGAGTTCAAACACATGAAAGTAAAGGAGACAGCAGCAATGTTACCTTTAGAATTCATGTTGCAGTAGATGCTGCCTTCAGACCTCTAGACTCAAGACATACAGCTGGCATCATATACAAACCCACGACCACTACTGTCTGCAGAGGTTTACATATAAAACCAAGGCATTTATGGATAACCCAGAAATCCATCCAGTTCTTTGACCTCTGCCAGAATGCCAAAAGCATACCTGCTGACATCAACCATGATGATTTCTCATGATTTCTGATTCTCACTTTCAAATGGCAACAAGCAGGTAACTAGCTGGCTCCAGTCATGCTAAAGCTGGTTTTAGATGCATTACCTACAAATAAAACATGTAGAATCAATTTAACCAAGAACTGAGCCATGTACTATTATAATGCTTTCAGTACAGTAAACTTATTTCTTCCACTCAAGTTCTCATTATAATGGAACCTTTAAGTAAAACAGGGATTTTGCCTTGAAATTGTTGCCACAACTTGAATACTTCTAGCATAACCTTTCCCATGATGGGATATCATGATCATATCTACCATACCCAAAGGCATTTAGATACACTAACAGTACATTTGCATTTCAACAATATTTACAGCTCATGTACTACTGTCAATCTGTACCAATAACAAGTCACATAGCTGTTCTTAAATCCTCCTTTCACAAAAAGGCATATCAGGATTTCCACACATACTTAGAAGTATGGCCAAGCTTGTTTGTTTATGTTTTGTTCTGTTTCTTATGTTCTTTGTTCTGTTCTTTCTCCTGATCACAACAGTGTAATTAATTGTTTTATAGTGGGCCTACCTCTGTTTCTGTGACAACTGCAGCTATAAAACAGCTCAAGAACTTCCAGAGAAGCACATGAATTAGTTTTGTTGTCAGGGCTTCTCTTGACAACAGCCAAATATTCTTTAACTCGGAGCCAACCATAACTGATAAGCTAAAATTCAAAGCGCACACAAGGCAGGGATCAATGCTTCACAAGACACTTTTCCACTTCTAAATACAAAGGTTCTGGATGGAAACATATGTAATACTTTTTGTCATTTTCCTCAAAAGCAGCACAGCACTATATCAACAGAATCACTGCGTGTACGGAGATGAAGGAGCACTGAAGTCCAACAGCTCTACAATAAGTCCTCAATTCCAAAAAGCAGAAGGCACCAAGCGAGTGAAAAGTTGTTGTACTGCTACCTCCACCTTTCTGCATCCGAAACAAGTGCAGTTATATGTCTTTTATTACAGTAAAAGCAAACTTAGGGAAAGGGAAAAAAAAAGATTATTCAAGTTTTTCAGAGTACTGCTCTGAATTTATTGCTACTGCCTGCAGCATTCACAAGTGCAAGTTTTCACAGCAGGGCAAGATTGGTCTACAGCACTGTGACAAAGGAAACTCCCTTCTAAAAATTTGCACACATCAGGAAAATGATTCAGAAAACAGCTGTTCCACAAAACCACACAGAAAACACTCTTCCAGGGTAATCACTATGCCTGGAAGGGGTCTGTTCTGGAAGAAGAAATAACTAACGGAGCCCCTGACGCTTGTGGCTGCTTATGAAAGAAAAACACAGATGAAACTATAGTGACCTCTTGTCACTACCCCCATACCTCTGAAAGGAATCTGCATTCCTGCAAATAGGTTGGTGCAAGTCAGTTACTAACACTTCTCCATCATTTAATTTTCAGGCTAGGTCCCTTCCAACTAGGGCCATTCTGTGATTCTGTTAGTATAATTCACGACCAAAGGAGTTCAGCAATTTAAACTAAGCCTATCCATCCCTATTTTAGTACAGACTTCTTAGAGGTAAGCTGCAGTGTGTTCTTTAGGAAAGCTCCCTAATTCCAGCCTAGCTGCTATTGCACAAGGCAAGTACTTGAGAGAGAAATATCTTTCCAACCAGGACTTCAAATAATAATTAGCAATGTCATGCCCTTATTCTGAAAAATCAGTCCTCTTGACCCTTGAGCTAGAGCAAGCCTGTGTGTGTCCAAAGCAATTCAGGGCAAGAAAAACCAAAACCCAGACATTTATGCACATGATTGAGTATCACTAGGTGAACTACACCTATGGGATGGTGCCAGGAGAAAGAGCAAACAGAACTTTTGTGACACAAAAGTTGTCCTTCCTCATTACACTCAGCAAAAGGAAGGGATGCTTATACATTACAAACATCATCTTTGAAAGAGCCAGGAGAGAAAAAACTACAGCTCATTTCAATGACCACTTTGCAACAGCTTTCAGATCACCCCAGGAGCAATGCTAATTAATGGAAGGCTTAGAGAAGGGCAAGGAGGCAGCTATCCTCTCTTCATTTGTAACACCACCACCTAAGCAAGTCCTTCTGCCACTTGACACATGAAAACGTGATTAAGTCATGTTATGATATCAGCGCTCTCTTGCAGAAGTCATGTTGAAGAAATTTGAAGGACTTCTGCCTTGTGATCACCATGAGGAGCTATATAACACAAGCATTAACAAACTCAATTAATTTTGCCTAATCTAAGTGGCCAAAATCAAACCTGAACGGCTTTGTTTCTCAAGGAAATCATATTACTTCATAGGAATAACTTCACATAAAGAACAATTTGGTGATCCACAAAATAATGCTACAGGTTAACACAGTTTAGAAATAAATTACTGTAATGCAAAGATTGTATAAACATTGCATAAAATCACATTATGATAAAGGCAAATTTATGCCTTTGCATATGCGTGTCTTTGCTACAGAGTGAGTGGCCTCTGCTACAGCCTGCAAGCAGTACAGGGGAAGCTTGAAAAACTCTCCCATAGCTCTTCTACACTTGAAATGTTGCATGCACTGTGCTGCAAAGCATTTTCAGGTGGCTCTTTTCTTTCCTCGTTGTACATCAGTACCTCTGTAATGATCACATCTATCACTTTCCTGGAACCTCATCGGCATTTTGAACATCTTCATGCAATTATGTTCAACAAACTCTCCCTGCTCCTTAACTCTTTTTTTTTTTTTTTTTCATACTTCCCCATTCCGAATTTTTAATTGTTTTTTAAAATAAAGTAGTGCAGTATATACCAATGCTAAGAAATCACTTAGTGGGAGCACACAGAACAAGGAAATACCCTAGGCAAAGCCATGAGAAGCCCTCACTGTGGATTAACATCTCTGGCCACAGGGTGCCTCTGCTGCTCAACAAATACCCAGAAGCTGAGCAAATAGTTTCTGCTGGTTAATCACCAGCTGGAATCCACAAACTGTGCTTGTATGAGCTGAAATCGATCGGCTCAGGATAAATGTAGACCAATATTTGATCATCCTGAAGTGCTCTCATTAGCTGCGTTTGTCCATCCTATAGAAACAATGCTTGCCTAATTCAGACAAGGAATTCATTTATTCTGTGCTACAGAAGGAGAGCTGGGCTGCCAGGATTTGCATGTACTTCTGAGGACAGTGAGTTTTGACTGAATTTCTGTAATACAAACCACCTTAGCAGCAACATTGTTCACACAGCCTTTAGCATTTCTGAACTTCCACCATCTACTCACCACGGCTCCTCAATCTAGTTTTGGGTTTGCGATTATGCTGAGGCTGAAAAGTACTGCAGGGTTGCAGTACTTTAGCTGGTTGTGTGGGATGCGTCCAGTTCAATCTCAATGGAAGAAGTGCCTCACTTAGGAAAACTTGCCCAGGTTAGCACCTCCACTATCTCTATTTTATGGCATAAGCTCTACTTTAACTAGTTAACAAAGCGACTGCAAACACAGCATAAAACCTAGCAGTCACCTAAAAACTTTCCATGTCACTGGAAAAAAAAAATACCATGTTTCAAAGAAACAATTTCGTCAAATTTCATTTACTGCACTGCGTATTCTTCCACAGACATGTGATTTGCTGACCACTAAAGTATACAATTTCTAAACAGTCTAAAGTTACGGGTTACTTAAAACACTGCATCTATATTCTCCTCCCTGAAGACAAAGCAAAGCCCAACCTCTAACACATTGTTCCTTTCTGGGTGATTAATCACTAGTATGGAGGTTTAAAATTTATTTCTAACATATCAGAACTACGGAAGTTGAACAAAGAACATGATTAAAGAGGCAACACAATGCAATCAAAGCAAGCAGACACTCAAGCTCTGAAAAAGACACTTCACTAACTCTTTATTTCAAGAGTTCAAATCATCTTTGCACACACACAGGACTTCCATCGAGTTCAACAGGAGCTGTGTAGCCGTAGTGAGTGCAGCAATGGTACCCTGCTGGCACGAACATTTCTGGACATAAAGCTTTGCAGTTGCATATACGATTTACAACAGCCAGTTTTGTATTGAATGCTTACTGACACTGAACGCAAAAAGCTGCTAATGCTCGGTATGAGTATCCTTCATTCCACTTTATAGTGCAGCACCAAGCCTTACCTTATTTATAAAGAAGGCTTTCAGCAAAGAAGAGTATATTTTCTATTCATATGCATCAGCTTGCTTTTTAAAGAAGTTTATGCTAAAAAGGCCTCCTTCACATTCAGAGCAAGGTATAAAATGCATTTAAAAGTAAAGAAACTGCACTACACAAACAGAAGACAAGCTGTTTGGAGCAAACCTCTTTACATTTACACACTGACAAATGCACACAGAAGCATAGGTGTATGTAAACGAAGACAATCTGCTTCGGAAATCCTACACCCAACCTGGAGTCAGGTTGCAGAGGTTGGGTGTGTGAGTGGAAGACCCAGTTCTGCAGAGCGCTGTGAGGACCTGCAGAGTTTTTCATCAGGAGAGCATGGCACTGGAAACAGAGCGATCCCTGAAAAGGAGCCTGTGCAGACAACCCCTGCACTCCCGTTTTCTGACAGTTTCTCCGAGGCTCCCCCATGACTGTCAGGTCAAAATGGAAAGCTCCAGAGAACGGAAGTTAGGCATTTAGGTTTAGACTAGATATCAAATGCAATCAGACACTGCTGCCAGCCAGGTTCTCGAAGAAGACAGACAATTTGTAACACATGCTCCCTTCACATGACACCCTGCGATTACAAGACTCAAGACACATATATTACTATTACCTCAACACACGCCAGTGTCTTGCTGCCAAGTTATTCAGCTGCTGAGGATGGACTTGTAGGACAAAGTAATATATCATGACTAGCTACAAATGAGTAAAGAACCACCACCCCCTTTCCCATGAAATCCAAAATAAAACCCATCATCTTTAATTCCAGACAGCCCACGAATCTCAATTTTCTTCTAGAGGGAAAAGTGATCACTGCACGATAGGGTTTTATTTTCTTTTCCTCCCCTCTCTTTTCTCCTTACATTTGCTAACTCAAAATTCAATGTCAGAAAAAATATATATATATATTTAGTCAGAAGTATGTCAGTTACATTTTTATTAACCTACTCCAAGAGAAAAGCTTCAGGGATTCACCATACAAGTATAAAACCCCTTTCAAACAGCTAGGGGTTACCATATTCATCCCAGCAGTCAATCGATGCAGTAAAAAAAATTAAAATACTGAAAATGGATGCTTTTCCCCTCTTCCACATGTCCAGTGATCACTCTGTTACAGCGTGATGAGGTCTACCAGGTTGCCTTTAGGAGGGGTCATGTTGTCCGGAAAGAAGTTGACTAATGTGTCAAACAGCTGAGTTCTCTGCGCATAAGTGTGATCAACATCTGAAAATCCTGGGGGAGGAAAAAAAAAAAAGGAAAGCAAGTCAGTGCTTACTACTTTAAATGCTCAGTTTAGCTGTGGAATACACCAGCTTTCCATTCTAAATGGAAGTTAATTATCTGCCACATTTTTGTCCCTGACTACAGCCCAGTTAACATCTATAGCATCGTACTAATAAAGCTGCCAGCTTCTCATCCCACTACTGTATGCGTGTAAGCACATCGAGTTCATGTCATCCCAAGCCAGCACTGAAATCAAAACACCATAAAAAGTAGTAGGCAAACTGGCTGTCAAGTTTGTGGACAGTCCTGAAGAAACCAAGGAAGCAAAAGTCCTCAGGGAACTGCTCTGATGTCCCAGAAAATAAGATTCATGTAGCTATTTTTATTTGGTGCCTCATTTCTTCTGTCCTCAGGCCCTCCTCATTATCTCATGACTGCCTTAGCCAGAACTGGTACTCACACTGCCCATAGTTTTTCTTGAGACAAGCTCTACTGATGGAGTCCCGAGTTAAGAGCTGCTGTTTAATTGCTGGGCTGCACTGCGGACGCAGCCTGCATCTTGGCACAAGGTCTCTGCAAAATCATTTTGTGAAGTGCCTCCTCCTGACAGGGGAGGGTTTAGTCTACCACAGCAGCATTGTTTATCCAAATCCTCATACTTAAACCATCAACAGCAAGAACAATAGAGTGGGCATACAACAATTTCCTCTGCTTTGTACTACTTAAACCACTGGTATCTCGAAGGAATGCTTTTTAATTCACTTTTCAGTTAATCAAAGTCAACCAAGTTAATCAAACCAAGGGGGGTTGGTTGTTGTTTTATTTTAGCAGCACCACTTGATGCATGTATCCTCCAATCTTTAAAGACAATCTCTGAATACAGCACTGTATTGTAGAACGCAGTGGTGCTAATGTGGGAAAAACTAAATCATCTTTCAGATTACTGAGAACTAGGAAAGGGGAAAAACAAAATCAAAACACTCCTCTGAAAACTAGCATTTACTTCCCTTAAAAAAACATTTTAAACAACAGCATGAACTAGGTAGCACTCCCCAAAGTCAGCAATGCTTCTTCATCCAGCAGGGCAGATAATGCAGGCCTTTTCCTTCCCTCAATTTCTTCCATAGGGATTTACATGGTTTGTCAAAATTGAAGCAATCCCTGCTCCTAGCTGGAGCCCAGCAGCTGGCTGGCAACACAGTTACAAGAATGCAAATTATGCCAATAGTCTTCCTATAGCCTGCCCAGGATTAATATCTGAACTGTTTAAAGCAGTTAACTGGATAGAATAGCAAAACAAATTAATGGCTTTGGCTCAGAGCTCCTGTTTTCAGACTTACATGCCACTGCTTTCTTCACTCTTGACATCCTGCCCAAAATACTCATTTTGCAAAGAACACAATGAACTAAACTACTCCAGGAATTGCAATTATCCCAGCAAACAGAGACATAGCCATGCTGTGAGATTCCAAAGTGACATGACAAGATCCTGACCAAAACTTCTGTTTATTTGGGCAACAGTAACGCATCAAATGTAATAAGAGACACAAAACGATCCCCAGAGGCATGGATTTAAAAGCACTGGTGACAGATGTTTTAAATATGGGCTCAAGGCTTTGGGCACTGGTCATTATACTCTTTCAAATGCCTATGCATTTTCAAACTGAAAAAGGCTCACGATACTCATAAGAGCATGATATTAAAAAAAAAATGCATACAGAAGAAACTAACAGTAATGATCTTTAGGAGAGGGAACATTCTTCATGCAATTCCTCTGATACACAATACTCACCAAGAGTGGTGAAATCCGAGCCAGACTTAAATAATGCTGAGGCAAGAAGCTGAAACTGCAAAACACAAGGTGGAAGAAGAAAGAAAAAAATGCTGTTAACTGCATTGGCAAAAAACAAACAAACAAACAAAAAAAACCAACAACAACCAACAAACAGTGGCCGTAGAGTTGCTGGGTTTTCTCTGCATAATCCTTAAAACTACTGTTGCATGCACGTGAGTAACAGTGGACAGTGCTCTCATATGAACAACACAGCTTAGCAGCACATGGTAAATGTGCTTTTTCTTGTAGAGGTCTGACTTAGACCAGCATTGAAAGGGTACCTGGTACAGTGCAGCATGAACTGTTTTAACACACCAAAAGCTTTACCTTTTGATAACCTTTCTGAAGAACAGCTCATATCACAAGCTTGTTTGAGGCTTAAAAAGTTTTTTAAAAAGTTCCATACTTGGGAATATCAAAATCCAGAGTAAAAGTGGATTAAGTAACACATTCATATTCTCCCCTAACTTCTTAACAATAGACAGTGAATACTAGCTTCCTTTGCGCCCAGCTGCTGTTTTCAGTTCCTCATGTTGAAGCAAAGCTCAGTGCTTTGTCATGTATCTTCAAAAAACTAGCCAATCCTTAAAGGCTTGTAATGTTTTGTCTCCTCTCTGTCTATTTTATGTATGGTGATACAGCCCAAAGAAAGAAGCATAAAATATGTAAAGGAAAGGAGTGGGGAGAACACCAGAAATTAGATGCTGATCAGTTTAATTTCAGAAATAAAAAAGGGGAACAATGTAGATGACAAGTAGCAATCAATGTTGATTTAGCAATAAGATGTATCACATCAATCTGATTTCGTCTACAGTAGGGCAGCAGGCCATAGGGATGGAACATGGGACTCATTTTTTTTTAATCTCGACTTTCATTGGACATCAAATGCTTTTCTATGATATTTAAGGTAAATTAGTGAGGAATCACAGAGATTAAGCTAGCAGGGAATAACAAATAGGCCAAGTAACTTTACTGGAGGTAGTCATGAGTGGTTTGATATCAAAACAGAACCATGAATCACAGAAGAGGAACAGGGCCTGGTCTGAAAGCAGAGGACACGTTCATTCAGCCCACAGACCTCGTGCCATGCTTATATTGCCAGCATGGAAGCAGTCATGCTTCAGACTGTTTTTCTGTTTCATCCAGGCTATAACGATGGCTCAAGATGCAATGCACTAGGGTCAAGTGCAAATCAACAAACCTAGAATAATCAGTCATACAAAACAGAACTGCAAAAATACATTTGCAAGCTGTAATAGATCACTGTCAGCCTATTGCAAAAATAACAAATACAGCAGAAAACGAATGAAAAGGAGTCAGGTCTTCAAGTAAATCAAGTACTCCCACTGTTCCAAGGCTTGTAAATTCTCATTTACAACATGGCAACAAACTCTGAACACCTTGTATCAATTAGCAGCATATTGGGAAAGTGCTAGAAAAATCAAGTGGTTTAAAAATCAAGCTCTGTCAATCCAGTTTAAAGAGTCAGGGTTGCACAGTCTCCACAGAGGAATGCCCAAGGATGAAAGAGCAATGAGTCGCAAATGTAAAAGGCATTTACGAAAAGGTAAACCTACAACTAAGTGCAAGAACAAAAAAAACCTTCAGCAAAATTCAATCTGCCATCAAGATAAAAGCAGACATGCTGCAGTGTGTCAGACTAAACTTGTAAATTTTTATGGAGGCTATCACAGGAAGAGATTAAGAGAGGCATTTAAGAACAAGTTGGGAAGATACAGAATTGACAAATTGTAGAATAGGGGGGATGAAGTTGATCAAATACCCTCAGTGAGAGGTCTGATTACACAGAATCAAAAGGGACTGCATTGCTACTCATGTACTTCACTGCGATCAAAACTTGTAAGACTTGCTTGGCCCTGCACCAGTAACATCCTTAAGCAGAAGCCCAGTTTAAATAGCTCCAAAAGGTTCCAATAAAACCAGTGGCCAAATCCATTGTGCTTGTGATACAAAGTGCTATCTTCCTCTTGCAAACAAGTGCCTTACTGGCCTGCTGCCAAGCTGCCTGGTGACACACTAAGCCAGCTCTGTGGGGACAATGCAGACATCACATGCTTTGAGGGATTCCCCCTCCTCTCCCAGTGACCACAGCCACCCAGCCAGAAAGAGAAGTAAACCCCAGCTGGGGCTGGGCTTCAGGTACTCAGTTCCTAGAGATCAAATAACACAATCCAGGTAGTAACCTGCTGAACTGAGACCAAAAATCAGTTGAAAAGACCCTTCGCCAAGTATTCTACTCTTTACGCACTCTGAGTGATGAATATCTGCTGCTATGAGTTCTTTTCTAGCCTCTGGGGAAAGGAGTATCTTTTCTCCTTCACTGATGCCACTGCAGTAGAGTTAACCTTGAGAGTTGTGTTTACTTTTGCTTTAAAATGATACTGTATGCATCATTTCACATTTAAAAAGCACTCTATGAAAGAAAAGTCAAGCAGGTGTGTTATCAACATCAATTATGGACAGCACTGAAGCTTTATGCTGGCACACCACATTTGCATTAAAATACCAACTATACAATGTTCTCCTAAAGGACCCCCATTTTTTTCCCCAATGCATAAGATTGCTACTGCTAAGTGAAGACCATGTCTCTTACACACCATTCATAGCATATATCCAATGCAACTTTTTTTTCTCATATACTTCTGAACACACTATAAAAAAAATAATTTCTGCATGAGTTTTTCTGTTAATTGATATCCTATCAGATAGTATTTCATATTTTGCTTCATTCTGGGTCCCCAGTATGAAATTATCATCTTTTTTTTTCTTTCCGAAAAACATTTTGCTTTAAGCAGCTTCTACTGAATTCATTTATAGCTAGAAAGAGCAAAGCCCTCAACAGACCACATATCAGATCTCTCCCATCCAGTACCAAAATGAAAGAGCCAATTAATGACCATCTAGGAAAAGTGATTTGCTTAACGTCACATAGCAACTACATTACAGAGGCAGGACCAAAACTCAATTATCCAACAGAAGCATCCAACTGCTTTAATCATGCCACCACCCATTTTTTTCTGACAATCCCTTCACCATGTTGGCTTCATCTATTCCAAATTAAGCCTCCATACAAAAGACAACAGTTTACTTCATTACGCAATTAAGTTCTCTCTCACAGATCCAATCCTCCTTCTAAACTAATGCAAGGGTTTCTCAGAGACAGGGATATAAGACAACTAACATAAGGTTCCACAACCACTTTCAGAGAAAAGCCTAATTAAGACTAAATAATTAATATTAATTCCAGTATTTTCCAACTTCATGTTTCCAGTATTACCATTCTTTAATCAGTTTTACATATTTCACCTAGGTTTCTACCTAAAGCAAAAAACCAATTCCACTGTGTGACAACCCATAAAGGTTTTAATGTATTTGCTGCACATCTCTACTGTCTGCGCAAAGGGAAGATCAGTAATTCTGTCTGGGATACTCAAGGGGCTGTACAAGTTAGATATAATTCCTCCTCCAGAAGGTCGGCACACCGAGTGCTCAGATCACAGCACAAAGCAGTTTCTCAGCTTTGACCGATTCTGTTGGGATGGCGCCTCATAGTGAAGGCACAAAGAAGAAACAAGAGGCCTACACTGTTTGAGGATGGAGCTGTCACAAGCTGAAGTCTGGGAGGGTTGAACACTTATTTCAAAGACTCCTTGGCTCCAAAACCTCTGCTCCTGCAGCACTCAGAGCCTGAGGCTTTACAAAGAATCACAGCAGGACATGAAGAACAGAAGCGTGCTTTTCTTAGCTCCTTCCTAGAACTATTTTTCCTATTTGGGCTTAAATTTTCCCAGAAATTTCACTCAAATGCAGACTTAAACAATACTTTTGGGCTCTGCTGGCTTTTATCTGGCAATTTTTTTTAAAGAAAATGTCTCAAGAATGGAAAGTATAAAGCAGCCTTGAACAGGGGCCTCAACTTGGCCTCCAGGTTCTTGTTCGTTTTCTCCCACAGTCCAAGAAGAATGGATTTCAGCTTTTACTTGCACTTCGTACCTATGTTTTGGCAAGCATGGGAACAAGCTTAAGTTTCTTCTTCACACTAGGCAAGTCTCAGTCTCATTGTCAAAAACGGTCTTGTTCTACTTGGGCAGCACTGGTCATTTTTTTGTAGCCTCTTCATTTCTTCTACAGACTGCAAGTAATGTTTTGGGTTTGATCACTACAGTGTTCAGCTGATCACACACAAGGCTGTGTTCTCTGATGTTTTTATGCTTTAGTAGCATCTATTTTTTCATGATATATACAAGTAAAACACTTGGAATTCATTTGAAATTCCAGTTTCAATCACCCTTATGTCTTTAAAGCTTAAATTAGGAAAAAAGCTTCTATTTAGGAAAAAAATTATCACCAAATGCACATCTATTTGTATATGAAATAGAACATTCATTCTGGCAGATTTTTTTTTTTTCCAATGTCAAGAACTCCCAGTGTCAGTCTTTTATCTAACTTTCATCTCCTAATGAGCCCGGATGCACAGACAGACTTCCACGTGCTCTGGAAATTTACTCTCCTTGCACACAGTGTCACAGCCAGTAAACAGAAAAGATTCACTGATCTGAAAATGCTGAACTGAAGAAGTTTAAGTGATTTCAAGCAGAAACACAGTTAAAGAGAACTAGATCCGCAATTGCAGGCAACAGCAGAAATATAGTTGACATACAGCTTGTGGCTATTACAATAAGCACCTATGATATACCTACCTGCTAGCAGGCATCTACAGTTTCACAGTGTAGTAATTAAAAAAAAGGAAGTAAAATTATCATCCCGTGAACATTGCTAAAATTCACAACAAAGGAAGGAAAATCTGAGGTATGTTCCTACTGTCAATCATTCATGCTACTTTAAACAAAATTGGTTACTAATGCCAAAGTAAATTTTGAGAACAGCCTGTTTATTTTCTTTGGCATTTAACTCAAAACAGCTGAAGAGACTTGCCTAACTAAGTTTGAAAAAATCACTTCTATTATAAGACAAGTAAGCTTTACCCTGAAGTAAAATTCTGCTTGTAATATCATACCAGTCTATAAAACTGTAACAAAGTCAAGGATAAACTCATTTTGGTCCTTTCCAAAATTAAGAGAAGTACTATAGAGAAGGAGAACAACACGTAAAAGGGAAACTAATTTCTTTAAAATTTGCCATACTTAGAAGCCTTACAGTGTTCACTGGTTGTAGTCCTCATAGAACAAACCAATCAGATACACAGCTCTCAATATTAAGACTATCTCAACTACAAATAAAGACAGAGTACGTAGGTGTCTGTGCTGAAATAAACAATCAAATTGCTGCTTGCAATTTGATATGGAATCCAAAAAGCCTGCGTCAGTCCTCTGGAAAGCACAAGAGCTATTTGAAGATGTAACGCCAGAGCAAAAAGCCAACTCGATGTGATAACCGGAAGGTAAATTGACGTCAACTGGAAATACACCCAGTTACTACCAGTGCTGTGGCTGGCTCTAAGCCTCTGACCCAGCAGATATGTTCCAGTGTAAAAAGCTTTACAAAGTAAAGTTTTGTGACCAGCAAAATTTGCAAAACAAACAACCAAAAAAAAAAAAATTGTTAATTTTTTTTCCTGGAATTTGTTAAATAATTTTCAGATACCACAGGAATCAAAGCTTTCATTCTGCTGAATGATACGCGCTGATTTGGCAGACCTACACGACAGCTATTGAATCCTGCTTGGATCAGGCATTAGGCCTGCAGAGAAAGGAAAGGGTTCAACATATATTCACTTATTTGGCTTGTTCTACTTGAGCTTATATGCTTAGAAGAGAAGACTGTCAGAAGATCTCATTACGGCTTTCCAGTATTTAAAGGGAGATTAAAAGCAGGAAGGAGAACAACTTTTTACACAGGTAGATAGTGATAGGACAAGGGAGAACAGTTTTAAGCTAAAGGAGGAATGATTCAGATGAGATGTCAGGGGAAAGATTTTCAGTGAGAGTGATGAGGTGCTGGAACAGCTTGCCCTGAGAGGTTATGGATTCCCCATCCCTGGATGTGTTTAAGGCCAGGTTGGATGGGACTCTGTGCGATTTGGTCCAGTACAGCTCATCTAGCAGCTGGCAACCGTGACAGCAGCGAGCTGGAATCTGATGATTCTTTAAGGTCCCTTCCAACTCAAGTTATTTTATGATTCTATGATCATTAATGAGCAGAATACTAGCATGCTCTGTCAAACCTTTATTATTATTTAAACTTTTTATTCTAACTATACTCTGCAAGATACAGCTACTACTTTTCCCCAGAACCTCAGGAGTCCGTGCATTTAGGCAAATTCTTCATTCTTACAGAGTGGACAAATTCAGTACTACACACTGAAATGAGAATATAAGATTATTAAAAGATTCCTTATTTTTACATGTATGCAACATACAGCCTGCTGGTGACAGATACCTGCATGAACTAGAAGGAAAGATGCTCACTGATCATACCACAACACATTCTCTTCAGGCAATAAAAAGGCACACCCAGCCAACAGATACAAGATCTCTTTAGGAGAAGTTGGCCAAACACACACATGGCTTTCACAGACATGAGGAGGCTTCTAGAACACAGATATGCCACAGACAGAAAGGGAAAGTAAAGAGCACAGGACAATTTCACGTCCTGCAGAGAGAGATGGCAGAGAACTTGAAAAGCAAGCAATGGAATTGTCATTTCATGTTATTAGTTATTACAGATTCAAATAATAAAAGTGCTATCATATTTAAAATAGGCATAATTGGGAGAGCCCTCATGAAATATGGGAAATATCTCCTTTTCTAGCTAAGGAAAATGAGGAGTATTTGTTCTTTGTCTTTCCTTTGCTAGAAATAGATTTAAAAATCTATGAAAGTACTTGATATGGGACAGTTTCAGCGAGAAATCATCTAACAGAAAACTTATAGGTACAGAAATTATATTTCATTTGGATCAGAAGTTTATGAAGCCTAACCAGAATTTATAACAATTAAATTTGATCAGTTCCAAGATTCCAATGGTAGTTCATATTTTTTCATTTTATTAACTCTACATTTTTATACTATGCATATGCAAAGTCATTCCACACCAAATATAACTTTGAGTGCCTGTACAAAGATCACTTCTTTAGACAAAGTAATGAGTTGAAACCAGATTAAGTGGCTTTATTCAGAGGCTCGGCAATGAGCAACAAGAGTCCACTCTCCTACTTCAATTTTATGAAAGGAACTGTCAAATTATTTCCACAGTGAGTAATGCATGAAGAGGGTAAGAACTGAGGACTCCACTTCTTCATCTAACCAATGCTTGTACATTGAAACTGGTTGCCACAAGTTCCAAGTAGACATGAACAGGAGAGTGAAGTCAACCAAACTTATCTGACACTTCACACTATTTCTTTAATTCATTTTGTAAAGTGACACATACTGCAGTAAAGGAATCAAAATAGAAAATGGGAGCAAATTTCTAGAGCAAATCAACGAACAAGTCTACTAGATAACATTCAAAATGCTGAAGAAATAGGAGTTTTAAGGTTAGCGAGTAATGTATATGTGCAATCTGCTTCCAGCAATTCATAAGATGTAGAAGGAAAGCTCTTTCTACCCCCAAGCTATTTGATATTGACAAGCCAAAATGTAAAGTGAATAGGTGGTTTTATTCCTCCTCCACCATGCAACCAACCACAGACTCATGACATTTCAGAGAGTTTACATTTCAATTAAAGTTCCCAAAATACACACGAGTATGCTGGAAATAGAACAAAGGCTTAGTCTTCACTATTATAAGCAGAAATCCTATTTTATCTGGACACATAGTTGTACAATGCCTGTTTCAAAAGTAATATGATCTTTCGTGTGGAGAAAATACAATACAGTGAAGTATCATGTTCCAGTTGAGCTTTTCAAACTGAATATAAACAAAATTTAAGAAACTTAAGATCTGTGCTAGAATGTGAAAGCACAGTACATATTTCTTTATACTTAAGACAAAGATTGTTCATTACCTCTTTTGTCTCCTCAGGGTCTGAGTGATCCACAGTTACATACAAATCATTCTGTAGGTACTTCAGTGCACTAAGAGGATCAGTCTGAGCTTTTTCTTCAAACCTGCAAAGAAGAGATAGAAAACTTAAGTGCAAATACATTCTTCAGGACTAAATACAGCTATTTCTACATAGAGCAAAGCCTACAAAACTTTTAGACAAATACTTCCAAACAATACAGTATTAATGGCAGCTCAGCATCACATTTACTAGGGTATGTGCTGTTAAGGCAGACTGAAACAGAAGAAATAGTTTTTTTTGGAGGGGTGTAAGGAATATTTAGATTCCTGGCCAAATGGAAGCCTGACTAAAATGAAAGATGAAGAATGCTCCCTGCTTCTGCCAGACAACAAAAGAAGGAACAATGGGAATAAAAATCCTCAGATTCAATGACTTGACATTCCACCTTTGGAAAGAGCATATAAATGTAAAATTTGGCCATGCATCACCACCATTATTTTCTCATTTTCTTTTAATAAGGGGAAACATTAACTGCTGCAAATTCCTGAAGAAACACATACAGCCAGAACAAGATTATGGGCTCAGCACTCTCGATGAGGAGAGCTGCTTCCCTAGAGTACTGAATTGGGTAAATAAGTCTGGAAATGATGAGGTTTAAAATTACCTATTTTCCTCCTACCATCTATCTGCTGAGCGCAGTATTATACGCTGTTGCCTTCTAAATCACTAATACACAGTTATCAAGTCTTTCCATGAAAATAGCTTAGATAATTCTAAATGACAGTGACGAGAACCTTAAAAACTATGTTCTCAGTCATATATCAAATGTCATAGAAGAACACAAGGTCTTTTATTTGTAAGTCACACTGAATAGATTTCAAACTATCTGACTGGTAGCAATGGACATCTGTAACTTGAATTTTCAATTCATTTCAAGATCTGGACTTAAGTCCCAAAAAGGAAAGATTATGACTGTTACCTGATTTACATGACAATTTGGTAATTAAACATTATTACTTCCAACCAGTCAAACAGATACTCTTATATGATACTGCCACAGTCCAGAGAACTCCAGCAAAGCAGCCATCATACCAGTTCCTAGCTGGTACATTCGGTTCCCTGATGTATGCCAAGAAACAGGAACACAGTGCATAAAATCCAAGCTTCTGCCAGACAATATGTAGCAATGTTTTCTTTTAGTGCAACTTAATCAAGTGAAAACATGTAACGCAGAGTTGTTTCTGGAGGCAGTACAGATGTATTTGCATACAACCACAGCGGTTAGTAAACCTCCCAGATTACTGGCAAGATTTTGATTTGTACTTGTAGGGATTCACAAATATTGCATTGCTAACCTGCAAAAGGCCTCACCCAGAAAGTCTACTACAGCAATTTGCTTGCTACCTCAGAAGTTAAAAAAAAAAGTAAAAACTGACCCTTGACCTCCAACTTTTGGCAGAACCAAAGTATTCTCATCAAGAATGCAGAAAGAAGATATATCTATTGCCTTCAAATAATTTGCTGAACCTTGAAAGACTCTTTAACTGTTACAATTTATTGCTTAAGGCAACAGCATGAGCTTGATTTTGAAAAGCTGCTTCCTTAAGTAGCAAATATAAGGTAGGTCTGAAACATCCAGAGTGCAAGTATCGTAGTGCAGATGAATTCCCCATAAGCAAGATCTTTCAAGCGATTCTGAAAGAGAAACACTGATGACCTCACTACAGACAAGTCTCAGATGTGCAAAGGAATTCAGCCCCCAGACTTCATTAACATCCTTGTGAGCTGTCACTATCTCCTAGCACACTGCTTTAAAAAAATACTCTATTTCCTTGGGAGGTGACAGTACACATGTTGATGAGAAGCAGAGTGAAGAAGAAATCTAAAAATTCTCCACAAATCCCCACACGATAGTCAAGACTTATTTTAGCTTCAGAATAACATCATAAAACCAGAGTGAAGCAAATAATTACAATTTTGTCATTTAGATTTGCCCAACAGCTTTTAATATTGAACTATTTTTTCTTAACCATAAATAAACAGGAAATTTGCAAATCGCCATATAATCAGTGAAGTGAAACAACTATTAACAGGATAGAGAGATTTTTAAAGATACTAAAAGAGATTTTTGAAAAGAAAATTGCAGAACATCTTTTGTTTCTATACCTGTGCTTCCTTATGAGGTATTTGCAGTGTCTTAGCAGGTATTCCTTTGAAGGTCGACAGAGCTTCAGAGACCAGAAATCATCTAATCTCATCTTTGGAGAGCAGGACTTGCCAGGATTTCCTCCAAATAAATAATGAACCTATAGATGAAGATCAAGAAGTTTAACTGTTTACATATATTCATTAGACAATGACTCTCTCTCTTTTTTGGACAAGCTGCTCCAACTTATTATGAGCTTTATTATCCCTACTTTATCCCTTAGAAAATGAGGTTTTCTTAAAGCACTTAAAATTTCAGATAAGACATCCACAGACCAGGCAACCTCTTTCTTTAGGAAAAACTTAGAAGCATGATAAATCTTCAGGTAGATAATACGAGCAGAAGAGGATCTCATCCAACTCTTGTTGCTCTGTTCGAATTAGAGCAAACAATATTCAAACTGATGGATTACAAGCTTCTTTTCCAATCTTGTCCTCAAAGACACCAAATTATCCCCATCACAAGACAAGGAAAAATTAAGGTACCTCAACTATGGCCTCTCTCTATTTAGGTCAAGCAGACTTAAATATATATATATATATAAAATCGAGATTACTCCAGCAACCAGACTCTCTCTTCAAATAAGAAATAGCTATGTTCGTAAGAAAGACTCAGAAAAATGAACTTTCTGGACTAATATTCTTAACTCTAGTCAAAGCACCATTGATGAAGATGCAGTGCTGAAGGCAGTACAACTCAGGTAAGTAGTCTTCTCCTTGAGTCAGAGAAGACCACGGTGTTCTCCAAACACCCCTGGAAGAGGGAATGGGGGAAAGTCCTAAAGATGCTCAAAATGAAGTGACAACTAGCCCAGTCCAGCAAAATCTTGGGAGATGACACAACCAACCTGTGTTTCCTACATGTTATGAAAGCTCCCAAGACCTTATTTTTCTGTGAAAGACAAATTTATTTCTATTGTCTTTGGAAGGGCAGACTTATTTCACCTGTATACAACAGTCTAGCTGCAAGGTGTTTGATGCACTGCCTGGGCACAAAGGAAGAATTAAAATAAAAAGACATAACTATAATGTTAAGAGTTGAGAAAAATTGTAATGCTAAGAACAGTGGAATAGCTGAAAAAGAAAAAACAAATCTTATTTGGAACCAGATGTCACATCCACTGCTGTGACTGATCATGTTCAAGAGTTCTAGTAATCCAGAGACCAACCCTGGTAACACTGAATGCAGTATGCAAAATCCATTTTTTGTTGAAGGTAGCTCAAATGAAGTAGTCTCAAATAGACTTCTGATAATTTCAGAATACAACTTTGAAATGCAAGGCTAGACAGAGAGAGCAAAAAGAGCAAAAAGGACTGTATTTCTCCACTTTTTTTTTCTCCTTCACATCATTTCATATTTCAGGCTCTGAACTGCTGATACTAACCACGACAAAGAGTCGTCAAATATTGAAGTTCAAGAAGTTTAATAGGCTACTTATCTCTACAGCTTTAAAAATAATCACTCGAAACAATGTATTCTACATCCTACTGATGTAGGCTCTCCTTATTTATATCGAGAGGAATTTAGAAAGGTCATTTGAATAGAGGTTTCTAAAAATAAGACTCTTCAAAACAAGCGCATCAAACAGCTCTTCAGATAATGCTGAGCAACTGCCACAATTTAGCAACCTTCACAATAACTTAGAAAATTCTACTATCAATCTCAATCTTATACCTTACACATTAGAAATAAACAATTAAGGGTAGATCAGTATTTATAATCTATCATTAACATGCTCAGTGAAGACAAATAATAACACTGCCATACAGAAGCTGCACCTATTCTCCCTTAAACTTCTCCTTCCATCCACAAGTATTTCCAAATTCCATAGCTTACTATGGAATTCACACTAAATAAACCAATTTTAAAAACAGTTTAATCACATCCCTGAAAGTTGATGTGAATTTGTCACCATGATTTAAATTCACAGGTTAATGAAGTTATGGTAACCTAATCCTTGGGTTTGTGTTAACATGCACAGAGCTCTAAATCTGCTCATCACTCATGTATATACTCATGTATACATATCATGTATACACTATGAACAGACCAGGTTGCTCAAAGCCCCATCCAGCCTGGCCTTGAGTGCTTCCAGGGAGGGGGCATCCACAACCTCACTGGGCAACCTGTTCCAATGTCTCACCACCCTCACAGTAAAGAACTTCCTCCTAATATCTAGTCTACTTCTACCCTCTTCCAGTTTAAAATCATTTTCACTTGTCCTGTTGCTACATGCCCTTTTAAAAAGTCCCTCCCCAACTTTTCTGTAGGCCCCCCTTCAGGTAATGGAAAGGACACTATTAGATCCCCCAGGAGCCTTTTCTTCTCCAGGCCAGAGCCCTTGCTAGTGAGACTGAGGCAAAGAAGTCACTGAGTATCTCAGCTTTCTCCATATCCCCTATGACTGGGTCTCCAGTATCCTTCCAGAGAGGGTCTGCATCTTCTCTGGCCTTCCTTTTATTGCTGATGTATCTGAAAAATTTTTTCGTCGTTCACCTTTATGTCCCCAGCTAGATTTAATTGTATCTGGTTTTAGCTTTCCTAACCTGATCCTTGGCTCTGCCAACATCTTCGTAGTCCTCCCAGGTAACCCGGTCCTGCTTGCACTCCCTACAGACTTTCTTTTTGAGCTTAAGTAAGTCCAGGAGGTCCTTGTTGATACACAGTGGCCTGCTGGCATTCCTGCCTGCCTTCCTTTTTCTTGGAATGCAATGTTTCTGGGCTTGGAGGAGATGGACCTTAAATAATGACCAACTTTCTTGGGCATCCCTTCCCACCCGGGCTTTATCTCATGTCACCCTGCCAAGAAGCTCTCTGAAGAGAAAAACATTCCCAACAAGAGAGAAAAAAACAATGACATTCCCAACATTCCTTATTGAAATGTTAATTGTTTGTGAGTACTTGGAGGGAGGAATGCAACAGCTAAACTAAAGAAATAACTCCAAGAGGTCTTGAGCTCAAGCCCCTGAAGATAATGCATAAAGCTGCAGGTGCTCTCAAGTACAAGAGAAGCTAATAGCTTGCTGCCGGACAAGTCTGTATTGCTTTTAAGCACTATCCACAAGAGGGAAAAGTACAGCCCATTTCCAACATTAATGTGTTAGCTGAAACTTATCCATCAGAGTAATCCAAGCAGTTAACACCAGACAAACAGATAATTTCATTGTACTGCCTCTGAAGAAGCAATTACACTGGATGAGCAACAAAAATAAAAACACCGTCTATGTATTTAGACCCTCATACCTTGTGCAACTCATCATAAACCAGTTGATGGGCAAATCTTGGGCAGGGCTCTTCTTCCTGAAGACTTTTACCTGGATTTTCTTTGGCTGCTTGGTCATTTTTATAGACACAAGACCTAAAATATATTGACAGTAAGTACTGATTAATAGAATAGCATTTTGGATACAGCAGAGATAAGGGAAATCTAGACCACAAGCTTTAACAAAAGCACTATTTCAATCACTAATCTTCTCTCCACACAGACTTTTTTGTTTTGGTTTGTTTTCAGCTGAAGGTCCTGCAGAGAGACCTTGACAAACTGGATAGGGAACCTGCCAAGTACATAAGGTTTAACAACAGCAAGTGCTAGATTCTCCACTCAGGATGGGGCAACTCATATTTATACAGATTGAGGATGAGAGGCTTGGAGAGCAGTCCTTTGGAAAGGGAACTTGGGATTCTAACTGATGGTAAGTTGAATCTGAGTCAGTGACATTCCCTGGAAACCATACCCTGGGGTGCATGAGACCCAGCTCTGCCAGCCAAGAGACAAAGAATTGTCCTTCTCTATTCTCTAGTGTGTGGTCTCACCTCAACCACACGGCGTAGTTTGGGTGCCACAATATAAGAAGGACATAAAACTCTTAGAGAGCATCAGCAGAGCTACAAAGATGGGAAGCAAGGACAAGATGTACAAGGAGCAGCTGAGGTCCAAAACCAAGGTGTTTCAGCCCAGAGCAGAAAAGGCTGAGGGAAGGCCTCATAGCGACCTACAGCTCCTCACAAGGACTGGTGACAGTGACAAGGCCAAAGGGAATAGCATGGAGCTGATAAGGGAGGGTCCAGTGGGGAATTAGGAAAATGTTTCTTGCCTTGAACATATCCTACAGGAAAAACTTCATATAAGGGCTTACCTTCTCCCCCACCCACTTTCCACCTGTCTCCAGTGAAAGAAGAACACAGTTTCCTCCCCTCAAGAGGCTTGTTTCTACAGTCTCTCTAAATACTCTGGGAAAGAAAGCCTAAAAGGAACTGAGCCTTCAAGATTACCAGTGCATAGTTATAAATTATTATAGAGTTACTTGGGAAGTATGACTGTGTTAAGGACTGCTTTCTAAAGAAATCATTGTAGAATTTGGAAGTTTTCCCCTTTAATTGACTTACCAGCTGTTCCTCACAATGTCATAAATCCAGAAAGAATTCCTTACATTCTCTTCTCGCTTCTCCTTATCTTTACTGAGCCCGGACAAGACATGGATTTCATTCAGTTCTGGATCAATGGTAGCCCTTTGAGTGAAACCTGTCATTGGAACTGACAAGAGAAAAAAAAAAGAAGTTAAAGGCTAAAAATAAAGGAGGATACAGGAAAGGATCCAAGCATCAGATAAATGTATTATTACCCTCTCCATGAACTTCCAAGAGAGGAATATGGGGATATTCCAATATCCACAGTAAAGGCACAAGATTTCATTCAATTACCTTCTTAGTATTCTGGATGAAGAGCATCTTCAGTTTAACCTTGTGATTTATTATCCCTATTTACTGTTTAAGTACTTTCACCTCTTCAACTTTCATATAAAACCAGTATCTGGACGGGGTGAACCCAGTATTTTCTATTTTCCACAGTGTTCTCGTTATTTACCACTACTTAAAACTGAAGCATCTCTAAACAGGAGCTATGCAGAAGTTGCTCCTGTTTAGAGAGCTCCTCATATGAGTCCTCCAAAGTCATATGAAAGAGATGAGAGGAAGAAACATCACCCAAACGTTGATTCCTTCTCCGCTAAGAACAAATCCTGTACAAATTCTCTTATTCCCTTCTTATTTATGATTCCTGGAAGCATATTAAACAACATTCTGAGAGCTGCTGTTTCCTAGAGAAAAGTATAGACAAGGTTTGAAAAACTACTGCCCTCAAAAATGAGAATAAAACTGCACTGCAACAGAACTAGATCTTCGTGAGATAAAAATGGGATGATTTTGTCGTTATCTCATCTGTAAAAGGAAGCATTGATTCCCAAATATTTAATTGAGCAAGAAAGCTCAAAAAAAAAAAATCATGATAAACTTATGATCACACAGCTCACAGCCTCGCGTTGTTTTCTTTAGTACAAATATTTCAAGGAAGTTTTCTTTATCTCCTATATGGTTGTGGTATAATTGCTAAGCTACTCTTCTGTTCCACCTTCAGATTTAGAAATATGTTTAAATACTGAGGATTCCAACAGTTTTCACCATAATTCCCTGAAAAAAAAGGTCAGCAAATTTGTTTGGCAGTCCTTTTTGTTTGTTGTATAATTCCCATTTCCTGTTTCCCTAGGCAACCATCCTTCCAAAATGTATTTGTGAAAAACACGTGATCTTTGTTTACAGATCCTGTTTGTCTCATTTCTCTTTCTGGGTCAGTTTACAAAGGCTGGTAAAGGTTCCTGGACTTCAATCAAGATTTTGGCATGAAAAATTCTCAGAACTTTTGTATTTTGCAAATTCTTCCCTGCAATTCACTACACACACAGGCTAGAAAACAAGACCTGTGCTAATAAGCATTTAATATTGCTTTTCAAGAACACACAAAACAGTGTTTTGTAAACCTATTCTCAAATAGACTTGCATCTCATACTTTACCATTTACATCTGGTACACAAAGAAAGTAATAAATGTCAATTTGAAAATTCTAAGCAGAAAAGTGTTATCAAAACGTTTAGCAAAACTGAAAAGCAAATATTTCTTAAAAATGATTACCTTTTATGTAAATAGGAACTGAAATATATATTGTTAAGTCATTTTTAGAGGCCTGTCAACCAATTCCTTGCTTGTTGTTTTCATGGAAAAGCAAGAGGCAGAGTCTTTCAAGCCCTCATCACCGTAAACTTGCCTATTGTGACCTCTATTTTGCCATGACTTCTCAAAGGAAAAGTCATCCAGTTTGTAAGCAAATGGGTACAGAGCAAAGAAGAAAAGCAGGGAACAACACTAGATGTAGAACAACTTTACACTTTGTTTTGTTGGTAAACCATGAACAAATTTCTGAAGAATCAGTTTAAGGAGTACTGTGAAAGTCACCCAATGAGAGAATTGATAGCAAAAAAGACTAATTTTCGAAAAATATACATATAGCATGTCTTTTTGAATTGTCAGCTACTGAATCATTGACCCAAAAGGATTAAATCCAAGGCATATGTGAGATATTTCTGGTGAGAAGCATCTAAATTTGATCAGCAATGCTAATGTAGATGGAAAATGTCTTCGCAACCCTATCTGCTGCTTTTAACATTCGAAACCACGTCGGGTTATTAGAAAAAAAGCATGCAAATCTTCAGAGCATTAATACCCTAGACTCACTGAAATGAAAATTATTATAATCATGTGGAATACGGTTAGCATATTATCACTGATACAGAAAGCATATGAAACTTGTCTACGGAAGTCTCATCCCTCCTCAAATGTGTTCGGTATCTTTCCTGAAGCTGAAATTATTTATATGGTTGGTTCTGTTTTTTTTTTTTTAAACTCCTGGAAATAAAATAGGATTCACATGCAATAACTGCAATCAAACCCAAATTCAAGTAATTCCAAGCTCCCTATAGTGTTATGTGTTCTTGAGACTAAATGCAGAAAGTCTAGAAAAATTTATATCCAAAAAATATATATATAAACTGCATTTAGTAGGGACTTAAGATGAGGAGCAACTTGCATCAACTCTGACCTAAGTAATTAGGCAGAAACCATAGTGAAGTGGACAAAGCACATAAGGCATAGGGAAGCTGACAGCTAGCCTTTTGCAGAAGACAGGAGAAAGACAGATGCAATATAACTTGAGAAATAAAAAAGCACGATAGATGTGGTGAACAAGTTCCTGAAAATAAAACAAAAGGGAAATGAGGCAAACTACCACTATTATAGTAAGAGGGAGATGCTCTGATATTTTACAATAGAAACATCAGAGATGTTGCCTGTAAACTCCAATCCTTGACAGAGCAAAGGGCTACATAAAATCATCATGACTGACAAACACTGCCACTAGGGGGTAAGAGAGATTCATCATTTCCAAGTGCAGCCGGCTTGCAGTCAGCACTGGACATAATTCAAATGATTGAGGTCAGCATATTAGAGAGGGACAACGGCTGTAAACCCTTGTGATATTTAACTAATAAAACATACTTTGGGACGGAAATTAAATTTTGCATGCAAGATGTTAAATTGAATTTATGTCAGTAACAGATTGCTTAGGATCTTTTTTGTTGTTTTTGGTGTTGGTGCAATTTTTTGTTTGTTTATTATTCTAGTAATTATATATTTTTAAGAGTCAGTAAAAAGCATAAACAACATCAGATGGGAAGCAGACAGTAATGCCAGTGGACTTCGAGAGCTAATATTTGCAATGTACTGGATCCAAGAAGTACATAAAGCAGTAAGAAGAGCTGCACTAAAGTTCCCTCACTTCTGTGCTTCTCTGCAAAAAGTAGATGTAAATCAGCTCTGGAGCAAACCTCCACTGATTTCATGCAGTCTGGAGTTCCTCTCAGGCCCCACTATCACTCAGATCAGCTGCAGGCAGACAGCTTGAAGGACAAAACAGCAGCTGAGGATGTAGGGCTGGTTGTTTTGAACACGATACTGGCCCGTTGCATAGTGATATCAGCTTGGCTTCTATGACAGTACATCACAGATTGAAGAGGAAAAGCTGTGCAAAGAAACTGCTAAACAGAATGCAAAATCAAAAGCACGTCCAGAAGAAAGTGAATATTTTTCACGTGCTACTGCACTCTTTTCCCATAATCTCATTAACTATCCCAGTACAGACAGATAATAACTAATTGAAAGCAAGGGATCTGAATCCTCTCTCCAAAACTTGGTATTTTTGTTTTATCTAGTAAAAACAAAAAGCTTAACAGCCTCCATATTTGAAACACTAAACAGCTAACCAGGACTTGAGTTTACGTAACTGGCTGCATTCAAAACAAGCAAATGAGGGCTGCTCTGAAAGTAATGCCTCTTCTTTTATTATGTCAGCCCATGACGTTGGCAGTATGTCAGTAGAGGTTGAACCTTCCTGCAAGCACTGTTACATTTTGTTGCCACATGACAGATGACAGTGGAGAGAATGGCATCTGATATGGAAGCGCATATGAAGCAAAGGTGTGTTACTGAATTCTTCTCTATGAAAAAAAATCACATCCGTTGACATTCATCAATGCTTGCTGAATGCTTCTGGAGACCAAGCAGTGAATACAAGCTCAGTGATGCAGTGGGTGGTGTGCTTCAGCAATGACTCTGTCATAGCAACTGTGAAACAGTGGGTCACGTCCAGCAGTGCAGGTGAAAATGTACAGCTAATGGTGCTGGTGACCATGCTGGAAAACCGTGCTTTGTAGTCAAGAATTTGCTCCATCAGATAGTGTTCCTGTGCTCTATGCATCTACTGTAGTGTCCATGGAAATAAGCAGGAAGTCTTACTTTCAGAATAAACGACGTAATTCCTGAAAAAGCTCTGCTAAAATGCTGAGTAACCACGTACAGTGTCAATTCAGTCTTCTAGAAAAGTGACACCTAATCATGCAACAGATATGTTCCTACTACTATAAACCCTACTTAAAGACGTTCCTTTTTTTTTTTTTTTATTACAGTGATCATTTCGGCAAGCTGAATATTTTTTGGCTTGCATGTACAAACAGCTAGAGTTGTTTCAAGCACAATGTTGACTGCTGCCAGTATCTAAGCAAGAGGAAAAACAGAGCTCTCACACAGAGGCAGAGTTTGCCAAGCAATAAGCTGGAGTTCACATAGAGGAGGATTTCATAATACTAGACAGAGGTTTGGAAATTAAATCCCATCTCTTACTGGACAAGAAATTATAGCAAGTTTTTAAACGTGTTCTGAATACACAATTGGCAAATGTAATATGAAACCTCTAGTTGCCAATCGCTTCTGGAGGATTCACTAAGGGAAGCAAGTTCACTGATATGGCACTACAGTGCCACCTAAATTACAATTCCCTCAGAACATGCTACCATTAATTCTGCTACAAGCAAGATGCAAGCATCCTCCTCCTCATGATACCCATGATTAAAAGAGCAGAGAGAGCTACATCACTCTACTGCTGTTCACCAGAACCTAGCACATTCCTAAAAGAAAAATTTGAGGGAAAAAAATAGCAGTGTGTCAGCAAGTTGCTACATATTCCTCCTTGTAATTCATAAAGCTGAAGCAGCACCCCTCCTGAACTTTAATGGAGCAAAGTGACAGAGACAGTATTCAAGCCAGCTGTTGACACAGCAAGATAATAATTATTCTCTTGGATTTTTCATGATGAGACTGTGTTTGGAAGCCAGCCAAGGAGCAGCAAGGAGACCATGTGAACTGTTTGGTTGTTACATTAAAAAAAAAATAACAAATGAGCAATCCTGATGTTCAGTGAATAAGTTTTCTCCCAAGGAATGAGAAACTTTGTAGAAAGCAGATCATTTAGTAAATTCAAATGGAATTCTGCTCAGTCTTCCCTGTAGAGCGCTCTTAAGATTTGGTGACTGCCAAGTCTCCTCACCTTCAAAGAGGAAACCAAGTGTTTTTAGATTGGTTCAGAGAAGCACTTTACAAGAATGAAAAAAAATAACGTACATCACCAAAAAAGTACTTCCATGTTAAAAGATATGCTGGCCAGTGGCAGGACAGACCTTAAAATGAACACAGGGCAAAACATGTCAGATGTCAAACAGAATCAAAACGAGATATGCAGATCAACTGTCCAAGCTGGCTCCAAACTATGCTTTTTATTTTGATTAATGTTTTTCCAACAGTGTTTTGCTTTACATCAAGACTTCCCAGATTAGGTAGTGTCGTCTCTGTCCGTGGTCCTTATGCATGAAAACTCAGCTCTGAAACATGCCTGACTTCCTATATCCAATGAGCATCTGCCCAAACAGAGCTGGGAAAGCTTGACAGGGAATTAAAAATACATATATATAGACAGTTTGTCCTTAAGTACTACTTCACAATTAAAAGGAAATATAAGAATACACAGGGTTTGCTTTTGTTTGATTTTGTTAGTTACTCAGTGGATACAGGATGATCTCTGCTCTCCTGCAGCAGGAAATTCTCCCTCTGACACACCACCTGAGTCAGGGCCAAACAGGATTATCACAGGAACCTTGACCACAAGTGCTCCCATCAGCTACATTAGACCTGAAATGACCGCCCACGATTAGTCATACGCTGTGTGCTGAGCAAGTCAGGCAAGCTGTCAATATAAACTTTTAAAAACATGTGATATCAGTGACATCTCTAATCCATATGTATGCCTCAGACAAACTCGTGGCTTGTGAGATTTTTTTTTGTTGTTTTTGTTTTGATTGACTTTTTTGGGGGCTGGTGGTTTAGTTTTCATTCTCCCCCCTATGAATAATTGTAAGTCTATAACTGCTCTAAAAGGATTCATCCACCAACATGCACATTCCTGCCTCTTTAACTACACGCTATATGTCCTCCAATTTCATCACTACTGCCTTGGTTCTTATCAGGCTCATTATCACAATTGAAATCTCCTTTCCTCAGTCCCATTTTGGCCATTTCTCTAGCTGACCTAATGAATTTCTTGCTTGTGATACTTATCACACAGGAGAAAGATAACCAATATGAATGACTTTATTTTGGTGCCCTCCTCTTACAATAGGGAGAAAGCACTAGTGTTTTGGATGCATTGAGGTGGAGAAAACACCAGCGCTCACCCTGCAGAAGAGCCAAGTGCAACTGGAAGACAAAAAAAGACGTGAGACTTATCTATGCTCAAAGCAGACTCAGTAACAAAAGAGTTTTAGTAGGCAAATCTTAGAGAGCTCTATTTGCAAACCAATCTTTCAGAAGCTGTACCTTGGTCAAATTTAGTATTTTCCAAATAAATAAAGTATGTCTAAACTTGCTACAGCTTGCAATCCTTTATCTCAAGCACATTATCTACACAAGGAATTGATTTTCCACAAGCAACACTTAAAGTACAACTAAGAGTAAAGAATGACTAAACAGCATCAACAACTCATCCACGAGATGAGACAGCAGCAAAACCAAAACATCACCATAATTTTCTGATATGGTATCCACTTCATATTACTGATATGCCTTTAAGTTTTTCTACATTTTTTCCAGTTTTCTCACTGCTGCACTGAAAATTTTAAACAAATGAACAATTACGTTTTTAGATAAAATAAAAATCAGAATAGCTCAACTAAGAATAGAACTGAATGCCATATGCGAGCCAGGAACAAAGTGTAATCATGGGACTTTATAGGAACATTTAGGTCAGGCACCTTCAACTTGACTCATCACACCAAGCAGCATAAAACTCCACAGCAACAAATCACTGAATCACTTAGTTCATGCAGATCAAACCAACATATCATCACCTAACAAGAACACAGAGACTTGCTTTTTTAGGGCAAAAATACTGCTATCAATATTTACTGTCTACATGTATCAGGCACGTTTCTCTGCTCCTGTTAAGACACACCGAATTTTCTTACAAAAGCGAAGGAAACATTGGAATCTGTTTGTTTATTTTTCACACATACAAGAACAGTGAACTGAAAATCTTGTGAATTATTTTCAATGACTCATTTCTTACCATGCCTACCATTCACCACTCAGGGGCCTGCGGGAATGGCAAGGAAGGTTAAATACTCGATTCCCATTTGCGTAACTGAACCTTGCAGATAATATATTCACTGAGAAGCGGTGCTCGATGTCTTTACTAGCTTTAAGACAAGCTCAATAACTTTAAATATGAAGTTAACACCAATGATAGTTCACAGCCACATATTTTAAAGCTTCTGGCTATTAAGAAAAGCAAAAATGGAAGAATGCTAGTAAAGCCGTAAGAAAAAAAGAACAATACAAAACTTTGAAAGCTCTAAGGACCACAGTATGTGGGTGTGTACACAGCAGCATCAGGCAACATGCAGGCACCTTATTAAATAAGACTGTCAACAATACAAGCTGTTTCTTTCTGGGAAGCAATGAAGTAAATAAATCACTCCAGAGAATAAGTGTTTGAGTACTCTTCTCCCTCACTGACATATCTAAATTGAATGAGCAAACAGTAACTCATAACTATCAATAATTCACTTCAGAAGTTCAGTAAAATTAAGCCTGATCAAAATAAGGAGGGAAGCCTAGATTTAAAGTAAAATCAACTTCTTGGGATTTTGGTTGCTGGAAGAACAGTAAACAAGATCAAGCTTGTTATTACACTACATATAATACTGGAAGCATTAATAAATTCTCTCATAGTAAACAGTGCAATGCAAATTTCAACTTCCAAGCCATAGGCTCAAAAACCAGAGAGGAAAACAATATGCTTCATACAAGCAGAAATCCTATTTTCCAAAATGACCATTCTTCTCCCTTTGTGCCACATTTGAGGAGAAAGAGCTTAAAATCAATTTTTTATGGCCATGTCCTCTGGGTGTTTTTAGAGGATTCTGGTATACAGGACTTCTGTATATAGTTCCAGGTGGCATGAACCATGCAGAACTGAAGCTTTACTCTATACTGCTACCAGATTTAGCTCCCCTTCCTCAATTTAGAGAAACTATATCAGCACATGTGCAGCAGAAACCTCATTTTTCTCATCAGCTCTGATCAGGCAAAATAACCTTTGCCCCTCTGCTCCATTTCTCCGGACATCCTACCTGCCTTTCTGCATCTCAAACCAAGCTAATGATTACTGTTTCACAGCACCTTTCACTTTATAGAACTTAAAAAGCTGTTCTCTCCTTCCCTGTTTCCACAGACAATTATTTTTTTCTCTCATCTTCGCTGAAATTGCAAATAATGTTCTCCTAAGTTTAATTTTGCTGGGTTTTTTTTTTGTTGTTGTTGTTTTTGTCTTGTTTTTTTTTTCGATAGGCATATGGTTTCATGCATCAATTATTTGTATTGCGCTAAAAGATAGAGATATCGAATGACGAGAAGGACAAAAGAGCTGGCATAAGTTTAACCTATATACTGTGGAGTTCACTTGGGTACACAGGGCTGGTTAAGGATGCTAACCTGATACCACAGGTCTCTGCAGTTGGCCATTCACCTACTTAGCAATATATTTCTCATTCGTACCAATGTGAAGACATTACTTTGTAGTCATACTCTTACCCATCCCTGAATCTTTCTTAGTACCATCTGATATGATATCCACATGGTCGCTGTCTACATCGTAGCTGAAGAAATCATTCAAGTAAGTTTTTGATCTCTGGCCACCAAATACGTATAAGCAGCGATTTTTCTAGAAAGGAAGAAAAAGGTATTCCTTAACCAAGTTCTTTATTTCTGTTTCACAGAACCATTAATGAATGAAAGAATAACAGATTTTTCTTCTAAATTTAAAATCATGCTTTTAATTTGGTAATCATCTATTACTTCCATATCTGCAAAGATTCACAGAATTATGCACAACAGTTTATTTTTCACAGACTTAGTAAAAGCTATATAATTCTTGATTTCATTCTTAATCTTTTTCATTCCTGATGTCATGTATTCTCAGTTTCAAGAGCTATACCACTGAGGGCTTCACATTTCTTCACCCCAAACAAATGCAATTTTAGAAGACATTATTTTCTCAGTCTAAGTAAGACTATAAACCTGGATCCAGAGTATCGATTCCAGAGTAACCAGGCAAATTTCACACAGTAATGGTTATGCCCTGCCAATCAAACTGTAAGGTCAGAATTTTGAAATGGCAATTCATTTTTCAAGTCCAATACAGAAGAGCAGCAGTCTCAAGGGACACAGGGATAGCCTCAAGTTGCACTAGGGGAAATATAAGACTGGATGTCAGGAAGAATTGCTTTATAGGAAGAGTAGTCAGGCATTGTAACAGGCTGCTCAGGGCAGTGGTGGACCTTCCCATTCATGGAGGTATTTAAGAGATGTGCAGACATGGCACTAAGAGGCATTGCTTAGTGGCAGAATTGGCAGCATTAAGTGCTGACTAGACTTGATGATCTTAATGGTCTTCTCCAATCTAAGTGATATTGTTTCAAAAAAGAACCCTACTAGATAATTTCACAGTTTAAACCAGGAACAAAGAAATTAAGAGTAACTATCCAGATACCAACACACTAAGAACAAATAAGAACTAAGGCAAATATGCAGCAAGCCAGCTTTATCACTTCTTTCAAGCTCATCAAGTAGAAGGCCCATAAGAGGCAGACTGTTTTTCTTACAAAAGATTGAGAAAACAGTAAAGTACCTAAATTGTCATCAACTCTGCTTGTCGAAATCTGTCGCCTTAAGTTTACCACAGGCATATTCTTAAATCCTCTGGTATCTATGCAGAATCGTGTGGCAGTATTTTCTTTTCTTTTTTATAAAATCAAGTTTTAGAACTAGAGTCATTAAAAGCAAAAATGGAATTGAAAGCTCTAAAAGCATAGCAATCACTATGAAACCTCCAATCTTTCATTTGAAAAGGAAAACCTTTTGAAACTGGTCAGTTTTCAATTGTACATCGCAGAACACATGCTGATGCCACAATATTAATTCCAGTTTCCTTCCTCCTCCCATCCCCAAATCAAAGGTCAATATCAGCAAAACTTTGAAAACTCGTTTGCTGCCACTAAGTTCAGTGCAGAACTGCCATTACACCACATCTGCCCATGGAAGCTTCATAGTTGATACAAATTCCCTTTGTACTGTGTTATTCTACTGAATGTATCTGTACAAAAAGGTAGTCCAGTACAGATACAATGCTTTACAACCCTCATCCTGCAAATCCTATATCCAGCACTTAAACAGCTAATGAACACAAGTGGAAAAGCAACAGAAGATTTTTATTTTCTATTAATCTACTCAGTAATAAAGTGCCATGCAACCTCTATCAAACACTCTGCCGTTCCCCATCAGGCTCTGGATTAAGAGCCCATAATGCCATCTGAACCAAACTTAACAGCTGATCATGATAACAGGCAGCAGCTGGGCCCCTGTGCTTCTGAATGCATGTCAGGTAAGCCCTGCACTAGTCAGGTTTACCATTCCTGGTCTAGTAAATACTTTATGTAATTACAGAAGACTCTAAGATTCTTTACTGACTCTGAAAGGAAAATACTTCTGAGTAAATTCAACCAGTAGACTACAGTTCAATGCCTTTAATTAATTACAACCAATTTAGAATTCACCTTGCTTTTAATTTCTATTCATTTTAAGCCATGAAAACTTTGCCCGAGACTTCAATTAATACCACCTGCACTTACCAAAAAAAGCATTAGAACATCATTAAACATAAAATCAGGTGAGACAACATCATTTGGAAGATTAAAGAGCCTGTAAGACAATCAAAACCAGATGTTCTCCTTAAGGTCAGACACCATGAATCAAGATGTGGTGGGGATACTTACAGAATGGAACAACATACAGTGTCCTATTCGGGATTGGATATCCTCAGGTCCAGCATTACAGGAATCCTCTCTCAGAAGTTTCCATGTCTGACACTGGCAGTCAAAAGCAAACAATCCACTGAACTGTGGTTCGCTGGCTCTGCTGTCATCAACACTGCCATTACAGGTCAAAATTCTGCCTCCGAAGGTATATATCATGTGTTTTTCAGAATCCATACACATCTGTAAAAACAAGAGAAATTTTTTAAAAAAGCACATTACGATCTGAATGTGCTCAGATTTATGATTATGCAACCCTCCCCTGCAAGTGATATCTAGTAAGTTAGATAGTACTCTTCACAAGACTTTCAGATGTGCACAGATAAGAGCACAGGCGTCATGGTTGACAGGTATTAAACTCAGAAAACAGTTCCTTAGTTTAGAGCTTGAATCTAACGTCAGCTTGACAATTTAATGATCAAAAAGGGCTACACTCGTCTGCTCCTAATTGCTGATTTTAGGGAAAAAATATATAGTTTTAATCCAGGATCCGTAGACAATTTTGCCAAAAAGTAAACAAAGTCATTGCTAGTTTACTGAACGCAACACTACTGATCCAAAAACAACTAGTGATCTGTTACTCAGCTTCCATCTCACATATTTATTGTTGCCTTTGCTACTTCAACATAAAAAAGGACTGTAACCTGGCCAGGAATCCTTGAAGAGTCTGCAGCAGAAAAAAGTTTATCCCCAAAGCCAGAATTCGAGTTATGGCACACACAAGATACATCAGTACAAATCAAATAGAACTCCCTGATTCCAGGTGATGTTCTCAGACATAGTGCAATGGAGATGTCTACAAAACACCAGGGGAAAAGAAAGACAGAAAAACACAACAAGACAGATGCTACTCAGAAAAGCCTACACACAACTTTTCCCAGGCAGCACATTTTTGTGAAGGTTAAACAAAATCTGGTATCACAGTACAGTGAGGGAGAGAAGAGAAATCTGTAGATTGAGAAAGAATTCAGGGAGGACATTCTTTCCTCGGAGATAGAAGGGAAAGAAGAAAATTTCAGAAGGAGGCAAACAAGGTACCCAAAGTAGTCTTGCCAGCTGATCCTTTGCTTTTGCTCAACACCTGGAAGACTGATATTTGTTATTAATAGAACAGAAAGACTGATTGGCTTTTGTTCTGCAGGCAACACATCTAATTTATGGTGTCAGCAAAAATGCATATCGTGCTGGCAGACAACAGCTTTGGTTACAAAACAGCACCAGTTCTTGGGACACTCTAAAAACAAATACTGATGTATTATCTCTTGGCCATGTTTTATAAAAACAACTAAGAACCAAATATCTTTTTCAAGGACACAAAAGCCATTGAATACACGACATGATTAAAAATAGAGTAATTTGAATATACAGAGAGGTGCAGCTTTTTAAAAGATTGGTAGCTACTCTTGTAAGATTTCAATCTCTGCAAGGCAAGAGCATTTCACAAAATTAAAGATAATCGATTTTTTTTTTTTTTTTAAGAATCCTGATCCCATTGGCCTCATTTCAATGTCTTGCTTACAGTATTCTTCTGAAGGTAGCACACAGCTTCGCAAATTGTACCCCAATGTCTACTCAGTAGGCTGATCTGCAAACCCAGCTCAGCAAGTCTGATTAAAAGTAGATGAACTGTACTTTCAGCTTTAATAAAACGTGTCTTAGTTTAAAAATATTTTTATGATCTGACTCAATTTTATTGGAATACCAGTAATCAACAGCATTAAACAATAATGCCATTAGAAATTAATTGAGTGCAGATCACAACTTCCCCCATCATTGCAATGTTACCTAGTACAGCAATTCTAAATTGCAAAAGGCTATGATCAAAATTATAATTCACAAACATTGAGAAAAAGGTATACATATAGGGACTTGTGCTAAAATATCAGTGTAGCTGACCTGATGATCGAACACCAGCTTTGGACCCCCATCAGCTGCAGTGTCTTCACTCAGTAGCATCCATGTATTCGTATCAATGTCATAGCGATAGAAGTCACTTTTCAGAGATTTGCTGTTCCTCACAGAGGAATCCAGGTAGCGACCCAGCGTGTAGATCTGTCTTCGTTGAATATCAATGCACATCTTGTGACAAGATCTGGCACTGGGACCACTCTAGAAAATAATCACAAAAATAAAGTATATAGCACATTTAACACTGTTCCAGATAGATCACTACCCATTCAGGACAAATAAATATCATCAGGAAGTGAAAATCCTTTGAATGCTCAGGAAAATTTGTGTCAGCCAAATACAGAATTAATATATATCAATATAGCAGGACATTCTGTAACTTCTTTGTGCATTAGAAAAACACTGGCAAAACAAAGCAATAAAACTTCTAACATAATGCCTTTTTGTAAGATTCTTTAGGAGACAGACCATTCCCTCCAGAACTGATGCTCAGAGGCATGTGAAAGCTACTTGATCTTTTAAAATAACAGAAGCTGATGTACATGAGAGCAAATTAAGATGTCACAGACTATAAATAACTACTTAGGAAGAAGATTAAGACGTGCTCTATTACATGAGGCTCTGTTTTATTAATAGACTGTTTTCTAACAGATCATAACCAGGCACTCCCACAAGCAACCATATCCTGTAATTGGTCTTCGAAGGCAACAAAAGCACTCCATCGTTCATGAAACAGATACTGTTATTCCAGCTCCAACTACAGAAATGTTTCTTACAGTAAGCAGAACTGCCCTGAGTTATGGTCTTCAGAGAGAAGACACTGTCAAATTATTATGCACTTATCCATCCAAGGTGCTCAACTTCAAAACACAGAGTAATTTATTCAATGACATTTAGACAATACTATGCAGTACTGGACACTACTGCCTTCTACTTCAGTCAAGACTAGTTTTGAAAGCCTTCCTATTCTCATCTTGAAGCACACAAGTTCTGTTGCTGTACTCCAAAATACTAGAAATCAAGGTGGGGAAAGCCTTATTTGCAGGAGATCAGACAGAAAAAAGTAATGCTTACAGATAAATTCTGTATTTATTTCACCTTTCTTTGTGCTTTGGAAAGCATTTAAATGAGAATGACAGAACAAGGCTGTGCAGCTAGCTTTGAGAATCTTCTCAAGAGTCTGGAAGATAAGAAATAGAAATCACATAGAAAATGTCCACAGTTTCAAAGGTTGGTATTGGGAACCTGAAAAGGCAACCTGGAAAGCAACAAGGAAAGTGGGAAACTTTCCACTGTCAACTAAAAACGGTAAGATGCACATAAACATGACCAAACTATGAAAGACAAAACATATTAAAAATATATAGAAAAAGAAAGACTACCCAAATACTCAAAAGATGCATGACAAATCACCATTTTTTACAAGTCCTACAGTTTAGGAAAGCTAATCATGCCATACCAAATAACAAAATTTGCTCCACGTGCTACTAAATACCACCTCACTTAAAAAAAAATATCTAATTGTATCATTTCATTTAAAACAAAGCTGATTAAAGTATACTGATGGAATATTCTTCACTAAGTTTGATAAAAAGAATTCTTCATTAAAAATAGTTGCTGCAAACTATTGTTTGAGTTAACTAAACAGTACAAAGATGTGAACTAAATTGTTCGCATTTGGTAACTACGAAGCATGCCAGCAATAATTACAAATTTGAGAATTAGCTATTTCATAGTGATTAAAAACATTTTCTCTTCAGAAAAAAATACTGACAGAAATGAAACAATAGCATGAAATCCTGAAACACAGCAGAAGTTCATTCATTGCCTTTGGTCACGTGGAAGAAGGTGAAAGAGAAGGTAGCAACATACTCGATCTTGATCCCAGAAAACACAAATTACCATGTTCCAAAGAATCCTATTCAGAACACATGAGATTCTTTGCATCAGAGACATCAACTCGTATATTCACAAAGATTATCCCTGATTCAAAAGAAAGCAACCCCCTATAGAAGAAGTCCATTTCTTGTTATGGAGGAGCGTGGAGGATGTTCCATTGTTCCTCTGCTAAAGAGCATGTTATTGCCATGGCACAGCTACTACTAGATGGAATTGTAAGCCCCACATGTCTGAAATCAGTCCTTTCTGACCCCTTCCCATTTGTTATGTCACTGTAATTTTCTTTTTTAAATGAACCCACTGATTTAAATATCTCACTCCCATAACACTATACGGTCTCTCTGGGCTACAATAGATAATATCAGATTTGCTTAAATAATGTCTTAGGAACTTTCAAGAATAAATCACCAAACTTATTAATTTCTTGACCTCCTTTGCACTGTGGAAGAGATGCATCTTCAAATGAAATTTGAGCACAGGCAGAAGGCTCAGGCACTCAGCATATGCAACACTAGTTTTAAGCCAGGGGAGTTAACAGCACAGGTACTACAGAAAACAAGCTTCAAATCTTAAGGCTATGTTAAAATGAAAAACAAGTTCAAGAAAAATGCATTGTTCATAAAGATAAGAGTTGTATATTAGTCATGTATGACTTTTTAAAAGGCATTTAATTTGACCATTTAATCTACAGACTGCAGGCAGAAAAACTTCACCTCAAGCTCACAAGAATTTTACCTTTGACTTGAACTTGTAGAACCTGCCATAAGATGGATTGTACCTTGTCATACAGAAAGCTTCCTCCAGTTCATCATCTTTACACAAAGAAAACTGAAGTTATTCCTCTATACCACTTAGGAAGTCATGTGGAACCAAGCGTGTATGCTGTGCAATTACTAATAGCAGTAAATAAGTCCATTAAACATCAGCTTATATGAGGGCTATCCTCTCTGCTTAAAAAAGCCCTTGTATCATGAACATACTTCAGTGGGAGACACAAAGTCCATTTATAGAGACAGATATGGGCAGACACTGAAAAATGACTAAAACTTCACAGCACGTGTGGTTAAATGAATCAAGAGTCCGTGGTCGATTACAAATGTTGATCCAAAGTTTCCTTTACACAGCCACAATAGTGAGCCTGTTGCTCAGACAAAGAACACACTACTCCAACTTGTCATGGAGAAAGTGACCCACCAAATTCAAACAAATAAGAACTGATTCCAGGAGTGTCAAAGAATTTGTCCTGTTATTAAGTTATAAGTAAAAAAACCTGACTGTAATAGCCATGACTCTCTTCAGCCTATATAAAAGATATCAAACAGAGAGCAGAACAACCCTTTTTTCTCCTCCTGCTCAGATGTAGACTGGTCTATGATCTATTAGTTAATGTCTATTTATACGTCTATTAATAAAGTAAGTGCTTTGCACTAGAAATCTCTAGTCTCATTAAAATCTGGACCACACCACAAAAAATAAACTGACAGCATACGAAGTATTAATTTTGGTACTTGCTAGTCCACATAACACACTACCCACCATTCCCTAAAAATCTGGGGATAATAAAGACTTTCACCTGCACACTGATAAAACTAAGAAAAGATTAAGCAAAGTCAAGTCTTATTGAGCAGAGTAGAAGACAAAAAATTCCAGCTAGCCTGCATTTACCCAGTCTTGTGGTAATAAGAAGTGATTGTAGATCAATGCAGGACTTTTCATTAAGTTATACTTCCTTTAGGTCTAGTTTCACTGAACTGTTATCTCCAAGGTTCCTGGCACATGTGATAGACGTTTTTGCAAATGAAGATACATGAGCAGATGTTGCACTTCTGGACATGGCAATGAGTTGGACTAGATGGTCTTAAAGGTTTTTTCCACCTTAATGATTCTACAATTCTAAGAACCAATCAACTGAGTTAGCAGAGGCATTACTCTCCAAACAGAGCTCAGCCAGTTAAAATAGGCTCTGGTAAGTCATATCAAGCAACAGTGCCCAAATGATCAGAATAAACACTGGCTTTGGGAACACTTTCCAGTTCTCACCATGAAGCTTCTGGCATGCACACTGCAGAAACCACACATGAAAGAAGCTTTTGACCAGGCTAAATTCTTATTCAGATGGCTAACAATGTGTTAAGCTGCTTCGGCCAGTTCCTCGGTTTATGCCAATGGTGTGGTGGCAATAATAAAGCATTAGTGTATCGCATTTCAGATCTACAGGACATCAAGCAATACTAAAGATTACTAAGCTTGAGCACTTGGGCACTTTGGCTTCTGTACAACTCAACCAGAGCCCCCACAGAGCTAAGACTAACCTGAATAAAGTGGCTCTCTACCACCCAGTACCGCTGCACAATTAGCACAGCATAATAACAATCAAGACAGATCAAACACTATGTGCCATGGCACCATTTTCAAATCGTGCAGAATACCAAGCTTCTGTTCCCTACTATAACAATACAGCACTCAAGCAGCTTAGTCTTGACTGCAACTGCTCAGGACTCTAGAACAGAAATAAACGACCGAAAGGATGTAGGGAAAAGAACAGAGTACATATAGCTAGGAATACCTAAGACAAGGTTTTGATCTTTTAAGTGCCTAGAAGCAACCAGGGCCAAACAGGATCTTTTAGTTTTGTCAGTGCCTCACAAAATTCAGTTGCGCAACGCCAAGTGAATACACAGTATACTTTATGAAAAGCCTTCTCAACATGCTAAGCCACTTTATAAAATCTAATTAGAGCTTTCTTCATTTAACTTGCAAATGCTGAAAGCAATTATCCCACTTAAGGACTAACTTACAAAACGTTTTCAAAAAGCAACATAACAGCATCGGGAGACAACACTGCCTCCTTAGAATAATTGATTTGTTCCTATACAGGAGAGAAAGGACTGGGACTCCTTAGGGTAGGGTCTGCTCTAATAACTATTTATGCCAGAATCACCATGCATCATCTTAGCAACAGAATCCTGGCATGCTCTAAGGCACTAACATGATAGCTTTCCTTTTTGTTTTGCTTTTAAATAAGTGTCCTACAAACCTCCTTTAACGTGAACAGAACTCCATGAAGCAGGTTCAACTTCCCACCTCCAAAAGAAGAAATTGAGGAGCTTGGCTTCTTTTGGTGATCATAACCTTTTGCAAATAAAGGGTTTTCAGTTGCAAGAAGTTCTGTTTTATTCAGACTGATCCAGATGAAAAACCTCAGGAGCAAGCCTGGACCCTGTTCAAGAGTCAGGGAAATGAAAACAAAGAACAGCTGACTAATTCTCCCCTCTCAGTGCTTTAAAAGACAGGATGGAATG